GGACTATCTCTGATGCTGGCTGTCCTCACCATGAAGGACCCTGATGTGGGGTTAACACCAAAGTCAGGAGTGGGTAAAGCGACAGTCAAGTCGGAAATCTCTCAGGGAGGGATGCCTTGCTCAAGGAGCAGGCACAGCAGCAGATTTCTGCCTGAAGCCCGGCCATGCCCTCTGCAGAGGCCATCACTGCCGGCCTCCTCCCGACACGTTTGCTCCTGGTGTTTTTTGCTTTAGAATTCAATCTAGCCCTTCTTTTAAAAGGTCGAGCTTTTAATGAAGGAGGTGTACAATGCAGTCCTGAGTTTAATGAAGCAAGACAGACATTACTGTTTTAGTTACAGGAAGTATTTTGGACAAATCCTTGCTACTTATTTTCTAGGCATATGCAACACTTCTCCTATTCTAAGTCTGAGCAGTTCTTCTTTTAAAAATTTATTTGTTCTAATTAGTTAAACATGACAGCAGAATGCTCTTCAATTCAATGTATACAAATTTTTCACTTCTCTGGTTGTACACAAAGTAGTTCATAGCATTCATGTAATCATACGTGTATCAGGGATGTCTGTCTCATTCCATCATCTTTCCTATCCCCATACCCTCTACCCACCCCTCCCTCCCCTTTGCCCCATCCAAAATTCCTTCCCTTATCCCATGCCCTCCCCCCATCATGGATTAGCATCCACTTATCAGAGAAAACATTCAGCCTTTATTTTTTGGGGATTGGCTTACTTCGCTTAGCATGATATTCTCCAACTCTATCCATTTACCTGCAAATGCCATGATTTTATTCTCTTTTATTGCTGAGTAATAATCCATTGTATATACATGCCACAGTTTCTTTACCCACTCATCTACTGAAGGGAATCTAGGTTGGTTCCACAGTTTGGCTACTGTAAATTGTGCTGCTATAAACATTAATGTGCCTGTGTCGCTGTTGTATGCTGTTTTTAAGTCCTTTGGATATAGACCAAGGAGTGGGATAGCTGGGTCCAATAGTAGTTCCATTCCATGTTTTTTAAGGAATCTCCATACTACTTTCCAGATTGGGTGCACCAATTTGCAGTCCCACCTGCAATGTAAGAGTGTGCCTTTTTCCCACATCCTCGCTAGCACTTAATTGTTGCTTGTATTCTTAACAGCTGCCATTCTGACTGAAATGAAATTTTAGAGTAGTTTTGATTTGCATTTCTCTAATTACTAGAGATGTTGAACACTGTTTCATATATTTGTTGACTGACTGAAGACTGAGTTCTTACTGCAATTTTACTTTATACTCATTTTCCTATCTAAATGGGTATCTCAAAGAAGGCAATAACTGGAACATATAAGATGTAGATACTACTGTATGGTCTCTCTACAGTGACTGTAAGGATTGTATCATAGGAAAAGAAAAAAAATGTAGTAGAAACACTAGAAATACACTCCTAAAAGAAAATTATTTTAATTACATTGTAAGAATCAACACATATAGAATATATAACTTGCCAAAGTAAGCTTTTACTTTAAAATGATATTTTTGTAATTCCTGGGCACAGAAATGGACTATGTGTACTGAAACTGGAAATCCTGATATCCTGCCTGACTAAGTGAGAGGCTGTTCATGTAGAACAGGGGTGACTACATTAATTTTAGACTGGCCTTGTGAACCTTCTTCTTCAAAGGCTAAGGCAGCTGTGGAAAAAGAAAAAAGAAAAAAAGGACTCCATTCTAAAAAGAACAGCAGTCTTTAAATACATTAAGTAAGAACAAGTCTTACGAGAAGATGAAATTAAAGCCAGGATCCTGTGCTGAATATTAACTAGGACATAGAACTAGAGAAACTTTCTGTCAGAACACAGCTATTTACTTGTTTGTGAGCCTAACAGATTACTTTTCTTTTCACAATGGATTTGAAAAGCCTACGTTTCTTTCACATTATCACTGGATCCACACAATGGTTCTCACACTCTTGCCAAAAGCCATTATGTCCCTTTCCACACTAAAGGCACACGTTTCTTCCTTTGAACTAACCAGAAAGTCTGTATCCCAGTCTGCAAATGAGGTCATGAAGAGATCAAACCACAGAGGCCGCCTAATCACCCACAGCCTTCTCGCTGGGACTAAGTTAAAATACAGTTCTGGTGATTTATTGAGTAAGCCCTTTATTCAGACCCTGCTGGACTTCCATGTGACTGGGCTGCTCCTGAAACAGCAGGACTCATGTGGGACGGCACAGGGAGAAGGCAGCAGGACAGAGACCTGGGACAGCTGGCTGACGGGGTGGGGAGATGGGGTCACTGCTGCAGAAAGTCGATGGCACCAACTTAAAAATTAAATCCAAAAGAAAAACAACCCCCGTCAATAAACTCTTCTGTTGTGAGTAAAGAGCCAACCTAAAAATAAGCCCTACCACTTTGCTCATATTTGATGTATTATACTTTAGAACTAACATTAAGATGCTGTTGAAAAGTGATGTGGCCCGGCATGGTATTACAAGCCTGTAATTCAAGATACTTAGAAGGCTGAGCAAAAAGATTGGAAGTTCAAGGCCAGACTCTGCAACTTAGTGAGAATCGTGTTAAAAAAAAAGAAAAAGAAAAAGAAGAAGTAGTGATGATTTGGGGCTGATCTCAGTGGTATGCACCTATAGTTGCTGCTACAAGGCAGGAGGATCACAAGTTCAGGGCCAAAGTGGACACTTAGTAAGGCCCTGTCCCAAAATAAAAAAGGTTAGGGAGGTACTCAGTACTTATCTAAGATGTGCTAGACCCTGGTTTAGTCCCCAGAATTGCTGCCCAAAAAAATAAACATACCCACAAAAACAAAACAATTAAAAAAAAAAAACCTGAAACAACAATAAAAAGATGTAAATTTTAGGTGAAAGCAAAGACAAAAAGAATTGTTTAAATATTAAAATTGCATTTGCAGAATGTACAATATTGCTAAGAATTAGGACAATGGCAAGCATCATAGGTCATTAGGGAAAAAACAAAGAAAAATCACAGTGAGTTACAAGTTCACACCCACTAGGATGGCCACGATTAAAAAGATGGACAGCGCTGGGGACACAGCTTGGGGGTAGAGTATATGCTTACGATGAGTCAGGTTCTGGTTTGATCCCTACCACCAAAATATTCTAGAAAATAAAAAGATGGACAATAACAAGTGTTGAGAAGGATGTGGAGAAACTAGAACCCTCATACACTGCTGGGGTAAAATTGTATAACTACATTAGAAAACAGTTTGGCATTTCCTCAAAATGTTGAACATCCAGCAATTCACTCCTAGTTATTTATACAGACAGCAGATCTGAAAACATGTTCACGAAAACACTTGTACAAACACTTGTCCAAAATAACATCATTCAAACCAGCCACTGATGAATGGAAGAATAAACAAAATACGATACATTCACACAAGCACTATCATCTGCCAAGGAAAAGGAATTAGGTTGAGCACCCCTAATCCAAAACTTTTGACCCTGAAATGCACGAAAATCCAAACTTTCTAAGCACTGACATGTTGCCACAACTGGAAAAGTCTGCATCTAACCTCACATGATGGGTCACAGCCAAAACACAGGCACACTAAAAATGTATGATTAACTTCAGGCTATGTATATACACAGGTATATGTGAAACAAATGAATTTCATGTTTAGGTGCAGATCCTATCTGCAAAGTATTTTATTATATATATGCAAATATTTCAAAACAGGGGAAAAAAACAATCCAAATCTGAAAAATTTTTGGTCCCAAGTATTTCAGCTAAGAGAAGCCTAACCTTTCTCATTGTTACAGGATGGATGAACCTAAACACTATGCTGCATGAGAGAAGCACACACAAAAGGCCATGTATCGTATCATTTCCCATATGAAATGTCTATAACAGACAAATCCACAGTGACGGGAAGTAGATGGATGACTTCCAGGGATGGAAGGGCTAGGGGTGCAGGGAGTGACTGCTAATGGGCAGGGGGGTTCTTTCTTCAATTATAAACATGTTCTAGAATTAGACAGTGATTATTATGATTACACAACCTTGTGAATACACTAGAGCGCCACTGAGCTGTTCACTTTAAAATGGTGTATTCTATTATGTGAATTAAAACTTAATTTAAAAAATTACAATGATATCATTTCAGACCCACTTAACTAGGAAAACAGAACACTTCTATTCTGTAGATAAGAATACAATTTGGTAAATTCAAATTGAAAAATGCTGGCCTCATCCAAAAAAGCTAAAGATGCACTTGATAATTTTGATCTACATGTTTGCACACAGCACTAGATAAATGAATAGGAATGTTCAAAGCATCAAGAAACTGGAACCAATATAAGTGTTTACCATCAATAAAATGAAGAAACTGTATAGTCATATAGTGACATTTTATACAGAAGTAAAATTATATGCATTACAGGTACATTAAATCACCTGGATGAATCTATGGAACATAAAGATGAGTCCAAAAAAATCAAATCACTAAAGGATATATTAGTGTGATTCTATTTTTATATAAGGTCAGAAATGGGCAAAACAAATTAATAAACTGCTTCTGTTTACCATATTTGTAGCTCTAAAGAAAAGCAAGCAAACAATAAGAAATAGAGTGGTGACACCTAAACAGATAGGGAAGGTCGCAGACCCGAGGGTGGGCATCAGGGACGTCACCTGTAATGCTTCTCTCCTAAACTAGGCAGTGGATTCATGGGTATCCACTGTTCTGTGACTCTTTACACTCTAAAACAATGTAAGATTGGGAAGAGAGGACCAAGGACAGTAAACATAGTCAACTTGAGAAGTTTTACTGTAAAGAACAACAATGATTTTAAAAATGAATCCATATTTACCCAGTCTGACACTGTTTTCTGATAATGTAAATTTTACTATATTCCTTCTCTCTTAATTCATTACTAATCAAATGATATTTATTTTATGCATAAACAACAGATACAATAAAGTTACATTAGAGCAGGGTGGGGTGTACATATTTTATTTTAAAAAGGTTCAAAGTATCCCTTTCAGTACCCAGAGGGTACTGAGAAAGAAAAACTCCTTCATCAAGTTTTACTAAAAGCTTACTCTAGTGTGCCTCTTGGTTAGTCCCAGAAATTACAGATAGTATTATTTCTGAAGAGCCTAATTTCATGGTGAATCAGGCAATTTAGATCTACATAATATGAATTATAGAAATCTGTTTGCAATGCTGTAAAAATAATTCTTAATGTTGGAAACGTTCTAAAATTTTGCAGCTTTTTATGAGAAAGGTTTTAACAAGTTAGACTGTTTTTAATCAGGAACAAGATGTGATAGCATCAGTCAACATACCTGTGATATAACCTTCTAAAGCCTTTGGCACCAGTGATTTAGCAAGTTTCAGGTCCTCCAGAGAGCAATTGCCCGACTCCAGGCCAAAGGACATTCCCATCCGTTTCAGTACTTCTATGTCATCATGGATCTCAAAGGTGTTGTCAAAGTTAAAGAGGTATTCAAACCTGCATCAGGGAAGAGAGAAAGGATGGCATTTCCAGTGGTTCTCAAGAGGCTGGGATCGTTTTATGCCTAGTACTTTTATACACATGAGGGCCTAAGTTCAGCCATCTCCTCAAAGTTGTTGCCACTTAGAGTACTAGCCATTCTACCAGGTTCAGGGGGACAACACCTTGAGAAGTGACTTTCCTAGTTGTAACAAGCACCAGCAGCCCATAAACTTTAGCTGTAATGCTGTTGGAAACAGGAAATAAAATTTTCTTTTAAACTTACCACTTTTCAAAATTGTCTACGGCTTTGCCACAAAAGTCTACTTCGATATTTGATCTTTCTACTACAGTTGGCTTATTAGCTTTGGCAAAAAAGATTTTGAATGCTTACTTCACCTTCATGAGTCAAGTGTTAGCCTGTTTAGTTAAGCATAAATGGGAGACTTTTATTTTATTTGTTTGAAATAGGAACTTGCTGTGTTGCCCAGGTTAGTCTTGAACTCCTACTGGGCTCAAGGGACCCTCCTGCCTCAGCTGCCCAAACAGCTGTGACTTTAGGCACATACCAGTAAGCTTGGCTTATATGGAAAATTTTTTTTGTTTTGCATTTTTTTGTGATACTGGGGATGGAACCCAGGGCCTCACAAGTGCTAGGCAAACATTCTACCACTAAATTACATTTCCAATCCTTAAATGGAAGACTTTTAACAAATTAAACCAATGTCTAAATCCTGTCTTAAGGGACTAAGGAGTGAAATGTCTAAGAAAAAGTGTCACACATAATAAATACATGACATGTTCTTGAAAATTGCCAGATATGGATGCCTAGCTGCCCTCCCGGCACAACAACTGAGTTCAAGGGAAGGTTCAGGGACAATGGTGGGTTTCACTTGTCATGGAATTCTATTAAAATCATGTGAAGGTAACACTTTTTATGGTAGATCTCAGATGAGGGCCAAACTACAATTTGAAGCAAAATGTCATATTTAAATAACCTTAAGTATATGGATATGAATAAAGTACTGAACAAGTTTTTAGGGGAAAATAAATCTGAAGTGGGTGCCTGCCAAGGGGATGATTTTAGGCATCTGTTAAAAGCAGTTGGCTCTGTGGACCTAATCCTCAGCGTGGGAAAGCCTCCCAGCTAATGAAGGGGAAGATTGCATCACCACAGTAACTGCCAGAAAGGTCTATGGCCCGCCTTGAACACAAGTGCATACAAGCTGCTCCACGCAGGGCAGCCCGGTTGGGGCATGAGTCAGTGACCACCCAAGGCACAGAACCCTGCAGATCCTGGCCTGGGTGAGCAGCATCACAAGCCTCGAGGCTAACAGCTCCCAGATCTTCCTGACACCCTTTTTGGACTTAGAAGACTAACCTGAGAATTTTATAATCCCTGACAATCAAGAGACTAACTTTATGTTCTTGTGTTTGTTTCTAGGGAGTCTAATTTCAGACTAACTACAAATGCCTTTGGTGTGTTTTTTCCCTGAAAAGATGTTAAGCATTTTCCAGACTTGTACTGCTTTATCGCTAAGTTTACCCTTCATGAAAAAGTTTTTAATCAGTGGAAAAAGTTAAGGGTACAGGTGGCTCCCCCACCCTGCTCCATGGCTCTGCTGTCCCAAGAACACATGGGAGTAACACCAGTGCCTGAGAATATACCAGCTGCCCTCGTAGACCCCAGTTTCTGAAACAATTCCCAAGTTTGGAAACAGTGATCCAGATATACAACATGAACTGACCCCTGGGCGGGTCTTATGTGAATTCATCCACAGCTTTTGCAAATTGGCAAGGTAAATACTATAATTCTTATTTTTTTAGAAGGAGTGAGATTTCAGAAAGGCTAAGAAACTTAAAAGGTTGAAAAATGTGTCTGGCTGACTTCACAGCCTGCAGTTTCTAATACTGTGTTTTTATTTCAATCTTCAAACTGTTTTGAAATTCCCGCTCACTGCTTTTTTTTTTGAGTCCTCTTCTTCCTCTGCATGGGAAGCATCCCTCAGACTCCCTGTATGCAATACAGACAAACAAGGAAAGAAACACCACCAGAGAAAAGGAGTGCTGGTGTCCCTGCCACAGTCTTGGGTGGTGCTATGGGACTGAGAAGTCTCGAATGGAGGCCCCCTGTGGCTTTAATAAGTCTCCAAACTTGGACAAATTATTGCTGACCCCTTGTCCTAACAGCAGCCAACATTCTCAAGTGCTTCCCTGAACCAGACCTTCAGAGGCATTATTTTGCTTAATCCTCACAGGGAGACTAGACGAGAGGCACCGGCATCGCTCCTGTTTGTTCTAGAGATGGAGATTTGTTGTGGTCTCATTTTGCACCTTCTGTGTACCCTTAACCTCTTCATGGTACTGGCCACAGCCTGCAGACTACTGATACAAACTTTTTCATGAAGAGTAAAACAAATTACCAGAGGAATTCTCTAATTTGCAAAGTGTTACTTCCCACTTGCTATGATGAATATTAGCATCAATTTCAATTATAATGTAAAAAAAGAAAAACTGGGGGCTGGGGTTGTAGCTCAGAGGCAGAGCGCTTGTCTAGCATGTGTGAGGCACTGGGTTCGATTCTTAGCACCACATAAAAATGAAACAAATAAAATAATGGCATGCTGTCCATGTACAACTACAAAATGAAAGAAAGAAAGAGAGGGAGAGAGAGAGACTGTAAAAAAAGAACATGCACAGCATTTTTTCTTTGTTTTTTGTACCAGGAATTGAAGTCAGGGGTACTCAACCACTGAGCCACATCCCTAGCCCTTTTTATATTTTATTTAGAGACAGGGTCTCACTGAGTTGCTTAGTACCTCACTTTTGCTGAGGCTGGCTTTGAACTCATGATCTTCCTGCCTCAGCCTCCTGTCCCACTGAGATTACAGCCGTGCACCACCTGGCTATGTGCTCAGCATTTTAATGGCCTTTCATTCATGGATAAACAAAAGCACATATAAGTATGATATAATAAAATGACAAAATGATTTCCTAAAAAACTGTAATCACCAATGAACCTACCTGTCCCAGCCCTTAGTGACAGCCTGATTCAACACAGATTACTATATACTGGACACACTATAGCTCAGCCCAGGCACCACACCACACATGTCACAGCAGACAGTGCCTGGCACAGGATGGTGGAGGCGAGTAAGACGCACCCACATGAGAGGTGCTCACCCTCCCAGGCAGCCCCCGTGGAAGGCTGCAGGGAACAGAGCACGTGATGGGAGAATGTTCTTAGAAGGCCAGCCCTGCACTTGCCCCCAGTTCCCGCACTCACTTGTCACTGGAGATGCTGCAATCTATGACAGTTTTTCTGCTCGTATTGATGATTATAAATGGCAGCTGAATTGTGGAGTTCAGAGCTGGAGGGCCCTGGTTTTGCTGTTCATTTTGCCGATTTCTCTGTACCAGGTTTTTGAAAGCAATTTGCTACAATGTTCAAGAAAAAGAAGATGGTCATTTAATGTGGAAGAGTTGGGATTTAAACAAATTAAGATAATACATTTAAAATTGTTTAAAATTAGTTTAAAGAGGCAGTCCTCCTAAACTAATGAATAAGAAAGTCAAACATTTTAAAAAATTAGAATGATTTAACCCAATAAATACATCTCAAGGGAAAAAATATCTGTACTTACAGAATGACTAACATCCTTCTTATGTAAATAATGGGGCCCCGGATTTTCATCAATCACAGAAATAGAGAGAGCAAGTGTGGGAGAGAGCTCAGTGGTACCTGCAGCTCTTCTTGGGGTGACACAGCAAGAGTGACATCAGCTGAGCTTTTGTTTTCAATTTACTTGACAGCTTCCTAGGATTTTGCAGTTAATAACACTTTTGATCTTTTCTCCCCATCATTGCACCCAAGGGCACTTTACCAATGCACTACATTCCTACTCCTTTTCACATTTTATTTTGAGACAGGGTCCCACTAAGTTGCTTAGGGTCTTGCTAAATCGCTAAGGCTGGCCTTGAACTTGCAATCCTCCTGCCTCAGCCTCCTGAGGTGCTGGGACTTATAGCTATGTGCCAGTGTGCCCAGGTCAAATACACCTTTTAGACTGCCTAGTCTAGGGATGTGTTTTAAAGTCACTGAACCCTTCTTCAGATGACATCTGCTGGGACTCTCACTACATAAAACAGATGGAAGCAGCACTGCTCTGGATGGCTGTAGAGGGGCTGGGGCCCCAAGCCCCGCCAATTTGCCCTCACTTACTGCCATCATGGTTTCTAGGGCAAGACAGAGCCTGACCATATGCTCAGGGCACATCTGGAATGCAGCCTGAGCCTCCCCACACCTGAAACTTTCCTGAGGAGGGAACTGAAGCTTAGTACTGATTATAAAATATATGGAGAACTAATATCAATTTTTAAATTTTTATTTTTTAGTTGTAGATGGACACAATATCTTAGTCTTTTATACTGAACTTTGCTGCTGTTGTTAGGCGCCCAATTATTCTAGCCCTAACTGTGTCCCAAAATCCACTATCAATATCAATTACTATAAAAAAACTATCACTACTATTATGAAGCATTACTTAAGTTAGCTTCTATTCACATAGAACTAAATTTAGTTTATATTTATTGCTATATTCATTTAATATTGAGGGGAAAAATATTCCAAAACTATAGAACTGAGAAAAAAAATGAAATGCTTGAACACTTCTGTGGAGTGCTTCTCTTTCCTTCTACTAGAACAAACTCTTAGAAATTGTTACTATACTTTGCCTAACTTTGTGGATCCTGTGCAAGAGGATGCCTCATGATACGGGGGACATAACCAGTGGTGAGGAAGAACCTTATATCTTTATGACTCACTTATCAATACTATATTTAATAGCAAAGACTTTTCAGGTGAAGAGAGCAGCAAAAACATATTGCTATTTGGTTTTTCTTTTGTTTTGTGGTATTGGGGAATCCAACCTAGACCTTGTGCATGCTAAGCAAGCGCTCTACCACTGTGCTACACACCCAGTCCAGTACCATTAGATTCACAGTAAAAAAAGAAAAATCACAACCCTTTAATTATGGACTGAGTTCCTTATTTGCTGCGCTTTGAATGATTTTTTTTCAGCCTTTTGTTCTTTCCAGACTCATTAACATCTATTCCAAAGGCCACACAGCTGTCAGCATGTTCTGTTCTGGAAAAGGTTTAGGGGCTGGAAGGAACAATTATACATACCCATGAAAATAGGGTATGTAGGTTGATGACAGGGAAACTTATTCACACTATTCCTTTCTCATATTACCAAGACAGGAGGTAGTGGCATGTAGGTAATATTACCTGTGTCATGTGACATCAGAGGCTTGTGACATTTACTTATTTTAAAAAATCAAAGTAGCCATGTTCAGTGGTATATACCTGTAATCCCATCTTTTGGGGAGGCCAAAGCAGGAGGATTGCAAGTTCCAGGCCAATCTGGCAAACTTATTGAGAGCTTGTCTCAAAATAAATAATAAAAAGGGCTGAGGATGAGTTCAGTGGTAGAGTGTCCTTGGATCTAATCCTTAGTACAGCAAAACAAAAAAACCAACTAGGGGATGAGGCTGCATCTCAGTGGTAGAGCGCTTGTTTGGTTCCTAGCACCACATAAAAAATAGACAAATAAAAATAAAAATATTGTGTCTATCTACAACTAAAAAAAATATCAAAAACAAACCCAACTAAAACAAAAACCAATGTTCTTGTTCCTTCTATAAAGCTGAACAGGAAAAAAAAATTATCATTTTTCAGGCTGGGCATGTAGAGATGGGAAGCTCCCATCTGCTGAGGACAACCTTGCCCAGCACCATATTTTCCAATACAAAAACAGATCACTACAGGCATGCTGATAGAGAGGCTGCTATGTGGGCTGGTTGGAAATACTGCAGAAACTGTGAAGGGACAGGGACAACACAGAGTCAGCCAGGGAAGATGACAGCAAGGAGCTTAGGAGCAGTTCCCTGCAGAATTCCTCAGGGAGACTCAGGAATCACCTGTCAGCTTTCAACTTTTTCTCAAAGCTGCAGAATACTTTCCTGCAGCAAAATCTTATTTGGAATCTCAATATGAAAAATACCTAAGATCCCTGCTCTCGTGGCATAGGCAGGTGCCATGGGCTTAGTATGAGAGGGAGAGAGAGAGAGAGAGAGAGAGAGAGAGATAGATAAAGATAAATAGCTTGATCAGGATGAATCGTCATCTCTAGGTTTCCACTGCGTGAGGTCTGTGCTTCATCTGAAAGGCCACTTGACCCTTCCCTGTGTCCTTTCCTCCTTTCTCCTCAAAGATCATCGACAGACCCCTGAAGGGCAACTGTCTGCTCTTGCTCTTTGACTTGTACATGAATGTACAAAAACAAAAACTCCAAGCAAATATAAGTATCTGGAAAGGGGAAAACAGAAACCATCTGGAATCCGTAAGAACACAGCATATTCTGGTCATTAGAAAAATTGAGTATTGAAAAAAAAAAAAAACGGGCTATAATACTTGGGAACTTATTGCTATCTTTATTTCTCAAAGGTGGATTAAATAAAAAATTAAATAAAAAAAGTGAATTGGTGGTAATGTTTTTCATATAAAGACATCTCCCTGCGAAAGGCAAAAGCATAAGGCTCTCTGGTTCACTGTACAAAGTTGATCCTATTACATTGAAACTGGCCCAAATGTACTTCCTGCCTGAAGTAAATTTTTACACCAACTGTAACTACTAAAAAAGAAAAGAATAATAAAATATGCCCTACAATTTAGTCTCACATGATTTCATACAAGGGTTCTACAATACTTCTTAAAATAATCTAAATTCTAGGAAATTATATAAAAAAAGGATGACTATAGAGATCTTTATTAAACTGTAAAATTTCTTTTTTTATTTTTTTGCTTTTGCATACTGGGGATCAAACGTAAGATTTATTTTCTGAAACAGAAATGCATTTTAAGTGTTGGTATTTCTGTGAATCTTTTCATATTACAATCATTTCAAACCATTCTGTCATTCACTGGTAATGGGTATTATTGGTGGATTTGATTAACTTAAAATACTTAAAATTTAATTAGCTTTACTTTTGATATTCTGAGTTAGAGAGAAAATAAACACAAGACCCCTTCCCTGATAGTTTATGTCCAGGGTAAGGATGAGACCCAAAGTGAACTGCTCCATAATGAACCACACCCAGGCCTCAGAAGCTCCAAGTGTGAGGGGTAGAGAATGGGTGACCCAGATGGGTCCCCTGTATGTCTGAGCCTTTACTGGCAATGAGCTAGAATGGAAAGTCCATGCTGGTGTGCTCCTATCACACTGCCAAAAGCACCACAATTACAAAATATCCACTTATTTATTTATTTATTTAGTGGTACTGAGCATTGAACCCAGAAGCATGGAGACTCATTTGGTATCCGGGATTGAACTCGGGGGCATTCAACCACTGAGCCACATCCCCAGCCCTTTTTTATATTTTATTTAGAGACAAGGTCTCACTGAGTTGCTTAGGGCCTTGCAAAGTTGCTAAGCCTGGCTTTGAGCCTGTGATGCTCCTGCCTCAGCCTCCCTAGCCACTGGGATTATAGGTGTGTGCCACTGCGCCTGGCTTTTTTTTTTTAAATTTTATTTTGAGATAGGGTCTCACCAAGTTCTCAGACTGGCCTGGACCTTGAGATTCTCCCACCTCAGCCTTCTCCGTAGTTGGGCGTGCACCACTGAACCTGTCCAAAGGACTGTGAGAGCAAGTACGAGGAGGAAGAGAAGACGGGCAGGGAAGCTCTAGACACCCCAGCCTCCTTACCTGCAGGAGAAGTTCTTGTAGCTGGGCCCTCTTCTGCTTTATTCGTTCTATTCGCCTCTGCTTCTCTATCTTTAAAATATAAGTTATAAAACAATATGAAAATACATAAAACATAAAGCACCACTTTCTTTTCATGTTCCTATTCTGATACGTTAAGAATTTTCTTAAAGAAACAACCCATTTTAACTGCAAAGGCAAATCACACCTTTTTATTGGAGGGCGGGGTGGGGGGAGGACCTCGGGGTATGAAAGCAGGTTGCAATAGTAGAACTGTGGCAACAGTTGTCAAAACTGAAATCCATCCCTTTAATGAATATGTCACGGATCTCACAGTGACATTTCAGTACGTTTTGGACACATGTATGACGGTGGTCCTGCAAGGTTATAATGGAGCTGAGGAATTCCTACCACCTACTAGCACACTGCACAACTCATGTATTATGATGATGCTGGTGTAAACAAACCCATTTTGCTGCCAGTTGCATAAAAATTAGCACATATAATTATGTATAGTATAAAACACTTGATAATGATCATAAGTGACTTACTGGTTTATGTTACTGGTTTACTGTACTATGTTTTTTTGTTATTTTCAACTGCACTCCATCTACTCATTAAAAAAAATTCACTATAAAATAGTTACTGGCAGCAGCCACATATACCTCGCGCTTACCCTGTTTCTTGATTACATCATAAGGTCACAGTAAATGACCTATGCATTAGGTTTTCTTAAGGACACTTTACGGTGTTCATACAACAATGAAATCAACCAACCATGCATATTTTTAGAATGTATCCCTGTGGTCACGCATGACTGTACTTGCTGTGCAGTATTTGTTGCTTTTATTACTCAGGTTCTAATCAAAGTAATAGCACCACTTAGCTTTTACATGTCCTAGCATTCAATTAAGCATTTATACACATTATCTTAATTCATCTTCATACACATCTTATGAGGTAAGTATTGTTGTTGTCCATTTTGCATGCAGGGAAATGCAGAAGTAGAAAGGTTAAGTACTGCCAAGGTCACACAGCTAATAAGTGGCAAGAACCAGGATTTCAACCTAGGCAATGAAATCCCAGAGACTCCATTATTTATTACTTTGTCAAATCACCCCCAAGAAGGAGAGAGACCTCATTTAATCAGTTTAGCTGACTTTCTAGAGCAAAGCTGCTAACACAGAGATCCCAATATATAAATGTATATTGTATATTAAATATACACTTCCTACTTGTAGTTTGAAACATACTTGTCTGACAAATTTCCCAGCTTCAAACAAGTACTATTTTTCTCAATTTTACAACTACTTAGATAACAGATATCAGGGTATGAATTTCCTTGCACATGAGTTCCTCACTATCTTCTTAGGCAAAAGTCCAATGGGGCTTGTGTGTTGAGCTCTGACATTAGATCCAATAGACCAAACCAAAATGGAGTTACAGATTCTGAAGGTCCACGCCACCAAGTCAAAACTTGTGTGTTTGACCTTCTAAGAAATTAAGACAGATAACAACTGGGATCCCCAAACAAGCCAGTGTTAGCCAGCATGATATGGGAGCCCTTGTGCTCTAATCTTTACAAGGAAATTAACTATGAAATGGAAATTTAGTTTTTGATCTTCATTTCTGCTTTTTTTTTAGCATTTTTTCTGTCTTTAAAAAGCCAACATCCTTTGCTCAGCAAATCAGAGAACTCATTCTATACTGAATGAGGTGCCTATTCTAAAACCCCACATAAAAGTCAACAAAGATCTTTCAACTAAAGTTATACTTTCATCTTTTCACATATCAAAAACACATCTTCTTGTCTATTCCAAAGAATGGCTTCCTGTCTGCTCCCCATTGACTTTGGTCTACACCTGCCACTGAGGTCCCCTAAGCACAACCGCACTCTAGCCTATGTAAGATCCACTGAGATATCCTTGTGGCACTGTACATTAGAAAAGAGGCTGCTCAAGCCTCCCCAGCAACTGAGGCAACCTCCCACCTGCTCACCGTGCCCCACCTCCCACCAGGTCAGACCCCCACTAGCTCACTCAAACCACGTCAATCTCCCTTCTCTGCCCCATTTCCTTCCTTGTTAATTCAACTTCCAACCCACTAGTAGAGTGATCCTTTAAAACACATCTTATCAAGCCTCCTCTTTATCAATGGCTTCCATGGGTTACAGGCAGCATTTTTTCCAAGCCTGAGCCCTGGCTTCACCTAGTTATGAGTGTGTTTTCTATTTTTCTCAGCCCATGCAGGGCTTCTGCAAGGTCTTCCTTGCCCTTACCCACTTGGTGAATTCAAATTCCTTCGATGAGACTGAGCTCAGGGATTATTTCTTTGGTAAAGTCCTTCCTTAACACTCTTTCCAGAGAATCTACACACATCTCCTTCATATGAGTAATTATCTCTGTCTCTTGTCTCTGATGCTGGTGATTGAACCCAGGAACCTTGTGCATACTAGGCAAGTGCTCTGAAACTGAGCTATATCCCCAGCCCTCTTTATTTTATTTTGAGATGGCATCTCTCTAAGTTGCCCAGGCTGGCCTGGAACTTGTAATCCTCCTGCCTCAGCTTCTCGAGTAACTAGGATTATGCACTCGGCATCCTTTTTCTTTTTGGGAGGGGCACGGGTACCAGAGATTTTACTCAGGGGCACTCAATCACTGAGCCACATCCCCAGCCCTATTTTGTATTTTATTTAGAGACAGGGTCTCACTGAGTTGCTTAGTGCTTTGCTTTTGCTGAGGCTGGCTGGCTTTGAACTCTCAATCCTCTTGCCTCAGCCTCCCAAGCCACTGGGATTACAGGTGTGTGCCACTGCACCCAGTCTAATTTTATTTTTCTTTCATTTGTGACATTAGGGAATTGAACCAAGGCCTTGTATAGACTCAGTAAACACTCTACCAAACTCAGCCACATCTCCATCCCTGAATAACATTAGAGAGTACCCTGTGATGAATGTGCGGTTTCCCCCACCATCCATAAGTATAATAATACAAAATACATTTTTTATTTTCTAGGGGGCAGGGGGGACAAGGTACTAAGAAAAAAACAGAGCATCAACCTTTATTATTCTCCAAAAGCCACTGTTAATCTCAGTTTACTCCATTTGTGGCCCCATAGCAAAACTAGGTCAAACAAATTTAGAAACAGTGTCAGGGAACATATTCATTTGGGAAAGACTTTCTATAATGCTTAAAGTTAACATTCTAAAACATTCATGTAAGCTGAACATTCCACCCAATTCTGATAAAGACACAAATGAAATGCCATTCTGATGTTACTGATTCCAGTCAAAGGTAAAAGTTTAACTTTCATAGCTATATTTAGATTATTGTGTAATCAACACAGGAAATAAACAGCTTGATCATATTTCGGATCTATATAGCATTACTCTGCATCAAAACATTTAGTCAAATAAAATAACATTTCTACCATATGATTCACCTAAAATTTATTAGAGTTCTGAGAATTAAATTCGAATGAAATTAAGATTTTCTCTAGGAAATAGCAAAAATTAAATCTAGTCATTTAAATCTTATGACTCTCAGTTTCATCATTTATACAAAATAGAGACTAAACCTCTAAAGCTCTCCCTAATTCTAAAATTCTACGTAGAGTTTTAAAAGAAATAATAGCATATATGACCTAACAGTTGGGAATATCTTAATATTATGTGATTATATTTTTAAATTAAAATGCCACTGATGTAAGAGAGTGCAAACCACTAACCATAAATAGTTTTTCTCACTTACCTCCAGGTTTTGACATTCCTGAGCAGAATTGGTAGGCAGGCCAATCCACTTGATCTCTTTCTTTTCCTTTGAAATTATGTTCATTGCCATTAACACATTTAAAGCATCATAAACTCTTCGCCTAATGTTCTTCTGATCATAAGCCTGCTGAAAAATATTTTTATTGAGCAATAAATTTTAAGGGTAAAGGTATAATCATGTGATGTTAATATATTAAATTAATAACATAATATCTTTGAAGTGCTGAATTCATTCTATGCCTAGTGAAAATATCCTTCAAAATAAAAAATAAAGATACTTTTAAACAATAAAACACAAAATAATTTTATAAATAAATATTATTTTACCATCAGATCAACATTTAAAAATACTAAAAGGATTTCTTCAGGTAGAAGATATATCATTTAAGAGAACTGGAAATGTAGGAGAGAATTAAGAAAAACCTGAAAGTAAATACATGAATAAATTTCAACTAATATTCACTATATTAAAAAAAATCCCAGAGTCCAAAATATACACAAAACTAATACACATGAAGATAATAATGGCTATATCAGAAGAGAGTAGTGGAGGTAAAGCATTCTAAGGCCTTGATTTTAGACTAAAAAAATGAAGGATATGTGTCTATAATTCCAGCTACTTGAGAGGCTGAAGCAGAAGGGCCAACTTCAGCAACTTAGTAAGAACCTGCCTCAAAATAAAAAAACGAAAAATGGCTGGGATATAGCTCAGTAGTAGAGTGCTTACCTAGCATGCAAAGGCCCTGGGTTTAATCAGCAACAACAACAACAACAACAACAACAAAATGCATGTTTTCAGTTCTAGATAAAGTTGGAGCAGTAATGATTACTAAGTTGTTTTCAGTCTACAATGAGAACAGGAACTTGCACCA